TTAGGCCCATTAATCCCTTTTTTAACACATATTTCGTCAGCCAAATATATGGGAATATTCTACTTTATCGCATCTTGCTGTTTCCTTTTTATTCTCCGAAGCGTGTGTCACACACCATTATCTGTGTGTTACACAAGTACGCGAACCAAAACTCAACCACTGCAGCAATCTATCAAGCTCCAAATTCTTGAGCTTACACACTGAACCAAGGAGACTTCCACAAAGTGACGGTGAGGATCAGAAGAAACATCATCCGTTGTTCCGATCAGATTCTTTTATTTTGGAAGCTTTAATTTGATTGATTTTGATGTTTAGGAAGCCGTACAATATATTTTGAAAAACAAAAACTGTTTCGATCAGCTTCTTCTCTCTTTTTCTCGGAACAGTTTTTGTTTTTTAAAATATATTGCACGGCTTCCTAAATCTCAAAAACAATCAAACTAACGCTTCCAAATAGCCTACTTATGTCACAATCAAAAAACAATAAACTAAATACTAACAGAGGCTGATATAAGATATAGATCCAGATAACAATATACAACCACATCGACTATGAAGAAAATAATTAAATCCCCTAACTAACTTGTCTAACTTCACTATCATCTTCCTCCTTATAAATTACAAGTTTTAAGACCACACCCCGCGCCCCCTAGTTATATTAAATGGACAACTAGATTCTGACATGCCCTTTGAAAGTGCGGATATATTTTTTGTTTTAATTTTCTTTTAGAAATTTAATTTGTATATTTATGTTTTTCTTTGTAATCATATTTTTATTTTTCTGTAATCATCTTTATGTATAAATCTTAATCAAAATATATTTTATAAAATAATAAAAAATTTAAAATTGATTCGACACACATTCGTTTTTTTTGTAATTAATCATATGCTCATATGCATGTTTCTTTGTAATCACATTTGTCTATTCTAGATTTTGATATGCGTTTCAAACATATATATAGTGATGGTTTGAGATATTTTGTTTTTCTGTATATATGTCTGAATTGGATTACTATTTTGTATTAGATTTCCAATCATAAATTTATGAATACATCTTGAAGCTTTATTTTGAAATATAAAGTAGACTAGTTTTTTAGTTTGTCAAATGTATATTGTAGTACAAACTATAAATAAAACACACACACAAAAAATATATATATATATATATATATATATATTTATGCTAAATTATATCACATACCATAAAGACCATAGTTTGTACATATTTTTAGTAGAATATTCTAAACGGACCTAACTATTCAATTTTGTTGTGTCTTACATCTTATTTTTTGTAACTTACGTTATAGAATATGAATGGTTTTGTAATTTACAGTTTGGCTAAATAATAGGATGAGTGGATCTGAAAATTAAGGGAGGAAGACAAGTTACAATATATCTAATTTATTTTTTAATTAGCTAACTAGATTCTAACATGCCCTTCAAAGGGTGGGTATATTTTTTATTTTGTATTTTTTATAAATTTAATTTCATATTTGTGTTTTAAATCATATTTGTGTTTTCTTTGTAATCATAATTGTGAAAAAAAAAATTCTTAAATGATTAGTAACAGATTTTTAAAATAGTATTAAAATAGTTAGATTAAATCTATATAAATAGATAATGTTCTTAATTTAATAGAATAGATGTTTCTAAGTAAAACAACTATCGCATCCGTTGTCAAAATAATAATAATTATTATTATTATCGCATCTCAGTTTAATCATAGAACCGTTCCTTCTAAATTCTACGTAGAAATTTTATTGTGTTTTAGTTTTATTTTAGAAATTTTAATGTTCATATTTGTGTTTTTTTTTTGCAATTATGTTTGTCTTTTTTTGTAATCATATTTGTGTATAAATCTTAATCAAAATATATTTTATAAAATAAGACTAATTTAAAAATTAATCCGACATACGTTCATTTCTTTGTAATCATATACTCATGTCCGTTTATTTGTAATCATATTTTTTTATTCTAGATTTTGATCCGTGTTTGCGGGTATAATGTTGGTTTGTAATTTTTTTTTGTGTAAATATGTAATTTATGCAATTTTTCTTATATGTTATAAATATGTAATTTCTGAAATTTTAATTTTGTTTGTGTATAATAATTTTAAAATTAGTTAGTAAAAAGTTTTGATAATTGCATTGAATTTGTGATGTTGCATAATAAAAATATTGTGTCATAGCGATCAATTTTTTATTTTATTCTTAAACAGTCGTTATTCTATTAAAACAAATAACTAAATATAGTTATAACTTTAATGATATAATTTCATATACAATAATACTTATAACATTATGATCAGATGCCCATTTAAAATTATACAATATTTAATCTATTCTATTTTTGTGGAGTGATGATTAAATCAAAAAGGCCCATGATGGATCGATCCAGTTATATACAAATAGAATTGGACAATTATATTTTATTTAATCAGTTCAATGTAGTTATATTTTAAATTGGCCACAAATAATATCAATTGGTCATATTGCTAATTTAATAGTATTGATGTAGAAAAATAATTATTAAACTAAACCTATATCAATAGGCCAATGTTCCTAATTTAATAGTATTGATGTGTTTGTTTTCTTAGTTCCATTCCATTTTAGCAAAACTTGTCAAATGTACTAGCACAAAATATGTTGGAAATGTCATCGATACTGTTTTTTGCAATAGTGTCATCGATACTTGCGTTTGTAGACATGGAAATATATAATCAAAAGCTAGTCTCCGATCTTGGACCAAATTTCTTGCTTTCAAAATGATTATCTCCCTTAAAAGACTTTTAGCCACTAAAGACCAAATAATCTCAGTTTTTTTTTAAAAAAGACCATGTTTAGCTTGTAGTATCTAATTAATCACCGTCACTTTGCAAATGTAAGAAGAGCAACAACATGCCAATTTCTCCCCCCAGCCACCTAGATACTCTATAATCTGTTTCCCCACAAAGATTTCCCGCCCTGGGAACAATCTTTAGAACCAATGAATGAATCTTGAGCAAAGCAGCAAACTTTTGTCATGAATCCTGAAGAATGCAAAGGGATTTCTCCGAACTAATCTTCATCCATATTCGATGTCTCTGACTCACTTCCCACTCTTCGATAGAACAAAACATATGCAGCCGAAGTCTTGATCTCAGACTCATCTACGGCTGAAACACGGGTGTCATCAAACTCGTACCACTTGTTCTCGTCCATCAACTGCAGAAAGAAACAGCCCCACACATTTGACATTATACTCATTAGGCATGCAACATAACAAAAGATAAGTTTAGATGGTACAAAACCTTAGCATAAGCAGTGTAGTGACCACCTCCCATACCACCGTAATGATTGCTAATCGCATACAGCTCGTAAAGATACGACTCACCGTCTTTATTCTTCACGTACTTGCTTAAATCTAAGTCATGAACCGGAAAATCCACGAACGTATCAATCTTACTCGTTAATAATCTGGTATAGGTGAACCGTTTTAGGTGGACCACGAGAATCTCTGGCAACTTCCACAAGTACAGCTTCTTGTTCGCTGGTTTGGGTTCTTTGCAAGCAGGACAAGACCACATATCACCTGGTCCGAGAGGCTCTTCTGCTAGAAAGGCATCCAAGCATGAAAACAAAGAAACCTCTTCCGTCACCAAGGAAGTTGTTGCTTTATAAACCTCAGGTAGCTCATTCAAGTAGCTGCTTGAATCATATTTTCCATGCTCTTTCTCGTCCCACTTGACTACAAGCCTTGTAGCACTAAGAGGATTCGGAAGAAAATCGGACTCAAGTGGCTTGAGACTGGAAGAATAACGGTCTAACCAGAAGACGCTGAAAGACAACTCTTTATCCCCAACTGTAGTATCCTCTAAGCTTCCAGATATGTCAACGTCAACATCTGGAACATGGACGGTAGATGATGAATGAGTCCGGCGCAGAGGTGATAGCAATCCAGAAATAATTGCATCAATGTCGCTTCTACTATGTCGTTCTGTGTTGACATAAGTAACGAGGGGAATTCCAAATAACTTTCCGGAAAACTCTGCGTCTCTGCCAAAATCAGACCTATAAGATTTGAAAGACATTAGAATCTAAAGTCAAAAAGAAGAATTCTTGAATGCTTACTGTTTCTGCTCCCAATGAAGAATTTCAAGTTTGGCTTTTCCTGGTCCTTTGTGCATCTGGTTGAACCTATATGCCACAATACGGTCGTTGTCTCTTAACTCACTCAGATACTGCAGTGGACTCTCAAGATATTTAAAGACCTTGTGAGCATATACCTGAAAGGGAAAATCCAACATTTTAGTTGAGAGTTTTTTACATGAAAAGCCAAGGACAACCACAAAATCATTACATCTGCGAGTAAAAGGCTTTCATCGTCTTTCAAGCCACAAGCAGCGCCTAATGCATTACTTAGATCTCCCAATGAACCATCTTTAGGAACTGTTACTGTGTATGGCGTCGAAAAACGGTTATCCTCGCCGTAAAACACTGAAACAGTCATTGACCGAGTGAGACTTGTTGGCAACGGTAAAGTTAAGTACATGAAGGGATCATAGGTGGCTGAGGTTTCTCCACAATCTGGGCAGACAAGTGTTGACTTGTATTGTCCCTAGGGTGAAAACACATACATCATATAAGAAACGGTCAGAACATACAGAGAAGGGGCAGAAACTTCAAAGCTCATGTACGAGAAATAACACAACCAAGAGGATCAGAGGTTACAAAAGAGGTAAAGAAGGACTGATTACTTGGAAGACATCATAAACCACGGAATCATTACGAGCCTTGTGATATTTCCACATTTCTTCGGCTACTTCATCATCTGGGCAACCATGTGAAGCTTTATATTCAATATAAGTTTTTTGTTTAACCTTGTTCAAATCTTCATGAAGCCCATCCAATAGGAAAGAAAGCATTTCCTGGAAACCAAAGAGTTAACATTAGTAAGACATTTCCAGGTATGTTTTCTCTAGTTATCAACTTGAGAGCAAATCACTTACTTGAGAATCATGTTGATTATAACCACTAAATTGCGGTGCGAATTTAGCCATTTTTGTCTTTAAAAAGTGTGGCGAAACTGCATTTTGTCCAGAAGACCACAGTTTCCTCAAAAGCTCACCAACCTCAATCGCAAGCTCACCCTGCTTACCAATTCGTTATAAATAAATTTTCACATAGGGACAATATAAACAGATCAATTCAAGTTACTTACTCGCGTTCCAGAAGGATTATCTTCATTTATGTCATCTCTGTAATCTTTCAAGAAATAGTCAACGATAGGAGGCGTATGGGCCAAACACTGAAGAGTGCTGTTCATAAAACAAGTGTTTCCCAAATTATGCAATCCTCTTAAGCCTCTCCCCTCTCTTTTCACAAAACCACTCAGGGAGTCATCGTCGAAAGGGTCTTTCCAAAACTGTCTAAACATGGAACCGTTGGAGTAACCCTTAGAAAAGATCCCTCCACCAAGTATAGCATCGGATCTCGTAGGCCCTACAGGTACAAGAGCCAACTCATTTCCCGCCGAGCTAATGTCATATTGAGTAGACGCATTCTCATCAACTTCAAGAAGAATCTGCATGGAATACAAAATCTTCAGTGTGGCCTTTTAACCATCTAAAGCTGTCATGAGATTTCAGACACTTACATCATGGTCAACTTGAAGACACGATTCCTCCAAGGTTCTTTCAGATGATGGATCCAAGAGTACGCTTTTCTTCTTCTCGAAGTAATCCCAGATGCGAGCCTACTTATACACATATAATCAAACATGGAGCAACCATTACCTCTCTGAATAAAAAAAAGTTGAATGTATCATCTCCCAATACAAGGAAGAAGAGAAGAGGGACACCTTTTCTTTTGATACACCTTTTGCAGAACAAACCATCTCATAGAGTTGACCTACAGAAGCCTGATACATCACCATAATCCATATCAAAAGGGAACAAAGCACAAAGTGTTTCAGTTTCGACAAACACTTGACAGCCGAAAACACAGTTGCTAGAGACGGCACCATTGACCATACCCGTTTGCTCAACCTTAGGGTGGCACTGCTTTTGTCTCTACTGTCTGTCAGCTTAAGGGAGAGTGGGTAAACCTCCACACTGTAGCTCTTGCTAGGAAACTCTTGACAGATTAACTTCCTCTCTATTGTAGGACCTCCTTTATACCTGAAACAGATGAAGCCTTTGGAAGTCAATAAGCGTAGAGAAGTAAACCCATTAGGACAGAGGAAACAAATACCATTCCACAAGTTTTTTCCAAACTTGATCAGGAACAAGAACGTAGTTGACTCCTTCCTCAAGCATCCTACTAAGCTGCGGATCAGTAGCGTCACTTTGGGTATCAATAATATCATGATTGTCAATAGGACCGGGCCTAGTAACATCTAAAGGCACTCTACTAGATAACTCTTCTGTTAGTAGGCCAACACATCTCTGCCAGCTTGTATACCACCTGCATTAACACTTCAAACGTCAAAATCTAAACTTGAGATGAGAACAAGTTTGTATCTTGAACAAGGATATACTCAAGAGTGAATCATCAAGAATGTAACTTGTAAAAGAAGCTAAGGATATTCAAGATAATAAAGATATACTGCCCAAGATCATGAGTCCAAGAAAACAATTTGACCTGTTAGAGATGACGAAATACAAGTTGCCCTCTTTCAGATGATCTTCGGCTTCGCTAATCAGCTCCGTCACGATACGTCTCTCTTCCTCGAGAGTGCACGTCACATGGGTTTCCATCATCGAATCAACGAGAGTCGATTAAGATCACGCAAGGTGAAAGAATCAGACAGCGTACAGTGGAATCTAGAAGAAGAAGACGAGAAAGGAAATCCAGAGAGCGCTTCCTCTGGAAACCCTAGATTCAAGGAGGAAGACAGACAGACAGACAGACTCCTTTCCTCTTCTCCCCCTTAACAACGGCCAATCCACAAGCGCCAATTTTTCATTCCTTTATATGTGTTACATTCTTTTTTTTTTCTTTTTCTATTGAACACATATGTGTTAAATTCTTTTCTCCATTGTTCAAAAAAAATAAAAACTAAAGATTCTTTTCTTCTTCTTTTTTCTCCACGTGTTGATGTTTTTGTTTTTCTAATTGTTATTTTTTTTTACTTTTTTGGAGCAGAATATATATATATACTAGGTGATTCTCCCGTGCTCATGCACGGGCATGTATATTTATAAAATAAATATACAATAATAATTGATTGATATTTACTTTAATTTTTAAATTAATTTATAGTTTGTATGTCTAATTTATATTATAATATTCTATTATTTTAATTATATATATAATTTTAGATATGTTATATTTAGTCTGTTTTATTGTTTTTACGGTCGATTTAGTTATCATTTAGATATATTAGATTTTATCTATTTCTCTGATTTCAACTATAATCTTTATATTTTAAATATATTAAAATTTTGATTAATTGTCTTATTTTCATTTATGATGGTTGTTATTTTAGAAATATAAGTGTATTTATTAAGATTATATATAACTTAAGATTTTTTGTGGTTAGAAGGAAAACAAATAAAAATTAAAGTGTCTGATTCTAAATTACATACATAAGTAACTAATGAATTTTTAGAAGCTTTTGAACACATATCAATATTTACAATAATTAAAAGATTTTATAAATTCTAAATAAATTTATGCTTTAGAATGATTGGATGGTAAACTGAATTTTATTTTTAAATAATTTATGAATAAAGATTCTGATTTGCTTAAGTATTTTGATCATGGTTATATTAAGTTTCACAAACATAAAAACAAATTAAAAATCAAAAGATTTATTTAGAAAACAGATAATTTTAACTATTAAAATATAATATATCTACCTCGTTAAATTATATAGTGTTATGGTATTTTAAAAGAATTGTAGTTATTTTCTGTTTTTATGTTTGTGAAACTTAATATAACCATAATCAAAATACTTAAGTAAATCATAATCTTTTTTCTTAAAACAGATAATTTTAACTATTAAAATATAATATATCTACCTTATTAGATTATATAGTGTTATGCTATTTTAAAATAATTGTAGTTACTTGATCAAAAGATGTTTATTATTAAATTTATTTTCAGTTTTATTTTTAGTATCTCTTAAAATAGTCAGTAAAAAGTGATTGTTTTTGAGAAATTATACTATATAAGTAAAATAGAATTTATATTTTTACTGTAATTGTAAGATATTATAGTCAAATAAATATACTAAAAAAATAATTTCAATAATACTAATAATAAAAAATATCAATTAAACATATATCAGTTTATTTTAGTTGATTATCTTATGTAATCATCTAATAAAATAGATAGATATATAGAGAATAATTATTTTGAAAATATATATATTTACTGTTAAAATTTTTTTTTTAAATATTTCTTTTTCTAATAGCAATATTTTTTGTGTGAAATCTTTTTATAAAATCACATTATATACAGATATTATTATTTTTTTATCTAAGAAGATATAGATATAAAGTATTTTATTACTTCAAAGGTATATTTTATGTTATTTAAAATATATTTAAATTAAATATTACTATTTTGTGAACTTTCTTTTTTTATTAAACCATATTATATATACTTATATTTTCGTTTTTAAATAGTTTTGTAAATTTTATAAATGTTTCCTTTTTATTTTATATTGTTATTTGGAAATTTTAAAAAAAGGAAATAATATTTAATTGTATTTTTAATTCATTAGGGGTATCATAGTAATCAACCAACGTGAGAGTTAACGTGAGTGCGACACCTAAGAAAGTGACTTCTCAAATAATATTATAGAGATATTCTTTTTTAAGTAGAATATATTATAGTATCTAACTGAATATTTTTTTACTAGTTTGGGATGGAATTATATTCCTTTACAAGTTTTTTTTTCTTTTACTTTTTAGAGTTAATAGTTTTGAAAATATATGACAAAGATAGTAAATTATCTTATTAACATTATTACATTTTTGTCGCTAAATCTCCATTAGTATGAAATATCAGTCATTACATCAATTCTATAAAACCTGAAGTACAAAATATATAGGATTTGTTGCAAAAATGACTCAAAATTCTAAGTCAAACACAAACTTTTTTTAACATTTTATTTGCACAATCCACTTTAGAAGTTCTGATTATTTACAAAAATGTTATTATTTTTATTAAATTTTTTTTTTTGAAAATGAGTGTTTTACTCTCTCATCCTCATATTCATCAATTAATCACGAAAATACAACTACTATCAATTCACCCAACAACCATGAGCAACCAAAATAAAGCTCTTAATGCATCTAAAAACAAAATTTACTCGTTCATTCTCATAACTAATGTCCAAAAACTACATTTCTCTCACTTTCTAGCTATATTCATCCAAAAAAAATCCAAACTTTTTGATTCTAAAGTTTTTGAAGGTCATATAGCTATCCAAACTCACGATTTCTGGTCATTAATGATTGAGTAGATGTTCTACTGCAGTTGTGTATTTTTGGAAAACTAAGCAAGTTCTCTTAGGGCTTGAAGGTATGAATTTTTTTTCCCAGATTTTTTTGCTAAAAGACTTACTTTTGTAAGTCTTCTGGTCGATGAATATGTTAGTTTTGTAATTGATTTTCTATGTTTTTTTAGAAAAGACTGTTGTGGAAATTTTTGAATTTTCTTTGTTGGTAAAAAAATTTGAGAAGACTTATCTGGAAGTCTCTCGGATAAACATGTTAGTTTTGTAATTGACCAATCTGTGTCAGAAATTTGACTTTCTACGGAAGACTTACCTGTAATTTCGAGGACTTTTGTATTAGAAAAGTAGATTTCTCTGGAAGTCTTCCTTTGCAAATTTTCAATTACAAAAATGACCTGGAAGTCTTGTGCCAAAAAACTTACCTGGAAATCTTCTCCAGGAAGACTTCCAGGTAATTCTTATACGACAATATATAATAAAAATTCATTTTCTTCAAATTTAAATTAATTCTTAAGATTTTATTCTTAATTCATGTGTTTTAGACAATATTTGGGGTCCTGAATAAAATTCATCAGCTAATTGGTGATAATTATGAGGTTACCAACATTCATGTTTTTTTAATCTTTCTAGCTAATAATAGAAGACTTCCAAGAAAATCTTCTCTTGGAAGACCTTTGTGGAAGTTTTCCACATTAGTTTTTGTAAATTTGTATTTTTAAGAATGTTCAGTAATTTAAAATAAATTTTTTTAACTTTCAAAAGTGTTAAACAATTTCAAGAACTATATAATGTGTACATGAAAATGAAGTTGGAAGAGTTAACCAACTCATTATATCTTAATTGTTTATAATTATAAAATTTATTGGTTTTACTTCTTACAAGACTTTGTTGGTTTTACTTCTTAGAAGTTTAAAGTGATGAAAAACTATTGTAAGTTAATGAGAAGAAGTTGTTTATAGTTAATGAGAAGAAGTTGTTAAAAACAATGGTTTTAAGCTTAAATAATATCTAAAACAATCACATTATGTTGAATCTATAACTTATTAGAATCTAACATATAAAAAAACAATAATACATATAATAAATTTACAGATATGCCCTTAAATGAATAAAAGATGACAACTATGTAATGAAAAACCTGCAAAAAACAAGATAGAATAGTGAGAAACACATAAAATGAGAAATTAATATAATTTTGGTCTTTTCATGTTTAAAGAGACTATAAAGAGGTTGGAGAATATTAGTTTGGAAAAAAGATAAGAACTTTATGCAACAATAGAATACTAATTGAAGAAAATCAGACTTGAAAGTTTACCAAAACGCTCAGATTTTTTGTGAAAGAGGAGACATGGAAGAAGAGTATGCCAGAAGACTTAAGACGATGTCAGAAGACTTAATACAACGCCATAAGACTTCCAGGAAAGTCTTCTGTAAGTCTTCCAATGTCTGCCTCAGATCTCAAAAAACATGCATATCTAAAAACGTTCAAATGACATCAAAACATAGAGAAAATTCAAAAAACAATGTTTAAACTTAAATAATAACTAAAACAATCACATTATGTTGAATCTATAACTTATTAGAATCTAATATATAAAAGACACAAAAATACATATCAAAAGTTTATAGATCTACTTTTAAATGAGTGAAAGATGACATCTATGTAATAAAAAACCTGCAAAAATAAGATAAAATAGTGAGAAACATATACAACTGAGAAATTGATATAATGTTTGGTTTTATCAAATTCAAATAGTTTAGAGAGAGGTTAGAGAATTTTAGAGTGCGAAATATTACATTTTTGTTGCCTCCATTTCAGAGGAAGAAAGAGATCGAATGTGTAAATTTTCATTTATATAGGAAGACAAAAATTCCAATTATGTTAAATATTTCCGATACAAAAGACTTTAGAATATTTTAGAAGACCTTAGATGATTATTCACCCAGAAGACTTATTTTTGAAGACTTACTATTCGTCCAGAGGACTTACTTAGAATTTTAAGCAGGAAACCTAACTTTGAGCGAGAAACTGTTATTAAGTTTTCATAAGTTTTCATAAGTCTTCCAAAATCCCAAAATCAAATAGGTCAAATATATATAATTAAATCACATACAAAAACTTTATCAAACTAAATTAAACTTATAAAGTGTTTAATCTACACAAAACTAAACAGATATAGCTAAATTTTACTTTTTAAAAAGAATGTTAAGATTCCACAATCTAACCCTAGAAACACATACAATACAACATCATAGTTACTAAACCCTAAACCAAAGAATATCATGACAAACTTATATACACACATTTATCTTGAAAACTATTCAGTTTTATTAAATTTTTATTTACATCATTTATAAATGTAAATAATTAAATGATTTGGATTTTTTACTAACCAAAAATATTTTTTCTTAAATTTATAAATTATTTTTAAGATCTAGAGTACGAGAAGACTTTTAGGTAAGTCTCTTGAAAGTCTTCACACTCGCAAGATTATA